AGTGGTTTCCTTTCCACCACGAACCACATTTCGTTTTTTTTTTTTTTTTTTGCTTTTAACTAAGTGCAGCAACATATAATGTGCTGCCTGCGCCCAGAACGCCTTATTCCAAATGTCTCCTATGTCCACAAAATGACCGAAGCAACTATCTTTGAATCGGTCTATACCCCTCTTGTGTTCACCTAAAATATCCTTTATTCTTGTAAACACTTGACAACTCGGCCTAACCGTCACCCTTACGGGGAAGTACGGTATCTTATCGATTACAACCTCCAACCCCCAACCCATAGTCTTTATAATTTATGCTTCGGAAAATCTGCACAATCGATATAAACTAAATATCAGCAAAAAAAAAGAAAGCAAAACAACCAATAGGCTGCCAATTTGGGGGATATGGGCTTCGAGGGCATCGAGGAGTGGATGTTTTTGGTTTCAAGAGGACCGAGGAAGCCAATGTAGGCCTTACAAAGGTTGTTGTGGCAGGTTCGATGACTGGAGATGGCTGGGGATGGCAAGAGGGGATAGAATAAGGGGGCTTAGGGCTACCCTTCATATTGCAGGGCTGGCCACAGGCAGCGTGCGTGTGCAGCTGTGCGTGGCCAGCCTTGCAATATGCAAGGCAACCCCCAACCCCCCTATTCCACCCCCTCCTACTATCCCCAGCCCTCCAACCATGCACAAACAACCTCCCTACAGCCTCCCTTACCTTTCCCCATCCTTTGGAACGCAAACAAAGCCACTCCCCCAATGCCCGTCAATTGCTCGACAAACGCCACAACCACTGTAACAATCAAAACCAACTACATATCTCCCAAATTCGCACAAACCAATAATTTTTTCATCAAATGGTAAAAAATGTACCTTTTCTTCATCGGTGTCTTCCTCCTCACCTAAATTCTCGCCGGTGTCCTCCTTTTCAAAACCATTTTCGAGTTTTCCTGTCTGTTCTTGTGCCACCATCATGTCCTCTATTGCTATACCACCTTCACTCATCGAATGATCCATCGGAGCGTCTTCTTCAACAACCTTTGAATAGTTGTTGCCGTCGTCGTCGGACTCTAGGATTTGGAGTGGGGTTGGGTTTTCCTCTTCTTTGTTAATATTAGTCATGATTTTTGTGTAACTAACAGCGATACGAAGATTTAAGATCAAATATTGGCTAGAATTTGGGAACTTTAATCGCCGAAAATTGCAGAGAGATGGGGTGTTTTCGTCGATCGTTTTTTGGGTGGCCTCCTTTGTTTAAGCGATCTTGAATGTGTGGGGGGTTGTTTTTTTTATTTTCAAAATTTAAACAAATTTCCATTAATTAACTATTACCCACATACGTTTCAATCTTTTCACTCTAGCCCCTTTTTCCATGTTTCCATGTTAAGTGTGCCACATTAGATTTTTCAAGTTAAAAAAAAATGCAAACTTTTTTCAAGGTCATTTTTTTAAATTCAAACTTTGGATGTCTAGTGAGTTAAATTTTCTCCTTATTATTCCGAACTTAATGTTCATGAGTATATAATTATAATAATGAAATTCTATATTTTGACTCTTGTACCAATAGTCAATTTCATCATGGTCTCTTGAAATTATTGCTTTAATTATATACTATCATAATTCTTTAATGGGTTGCATGCATTATACATTGGTTACTTATAAGATTGATACGCGGTATCAATAATTAAATTATTGTAGGGTTCATGACAAAAGTCCCCTTTAGGTATAATGAAATAACAAATATCCCTTTATAGTTGTAGTAATAACAAAAATCCTTTTGCCTTATGTTTTTAGTGTTAAAATTAATGATAGAGAGACAATTTTGTAAATAGTTATTAACTCATCATTATGTTATAAATTCTAACAACACACTAACGGCAGGGAAATTTCCATTATTTCTAAAACTTTAGGGGGACGTTGTATTTCATTAAATCTTAAGGGTTTAGGAAAACTTCTATATATATATAAACAATATAGAAGACTCCAAGTGTTATATATAAGATGACTGTGACTTAATTAATTAATTAATCTCATCATGAACTTTTGAAATCTTTGCTTTATTTAGCTACATAATTCTTTAGTGGGTTGCACGAATTGATAGACAAAGTTTTTAATTGGTTTCTAAAGGTCGATATGTATATCACCTTGAATTTAAAATTTGAGATATTATATTATATTAACAAGAAATTTTAAGTCAAGTTCAAAATGCATTATATTTTCTTTAAATTAATTTAATAATCATTATTTATCCATTGATGTTATTGGTTCATACTGTTATAAATCGGTGAAAATACTACCGGTTAAAAAGAAAATCTTCAATACAATAGATGTATTTGCACTTGTTTAATCACATAACGTTGATAAATTATGTGTATGATATTAAATGGATGCATATATGACAGTACTACTAAAATTTTCTATATTGTATATTGAAAGAATGTAATTTTAAGAGGCGTTTGGATTTTGAGTTAAAACAAGTATACTTAGAAAATAAGATAAGGTTATTCCATAATAAGAGTATAACCAGAAAATTTCTTCAATGTAAACGAAGCATCCAAATTATTATTACAATTTTTAAAATTTTCTCTCTTTAAGTTTGAGAGATTATGAAAAGAGGTCTTCCATTAGTTGAAATAGTAAAATTTCTCGTATTTTCTTTTAATCCAAACACTCTGAATCTGTAAATTTTAGCTCGAAAATATCATTGAAGATAAACACATCTTTAAGGAAATATAATCTTAAAAATTCTACTAGAAGACAATGAGAGAAAGAGACTCTTTTCCCCACTTTGTTTTGTGCCACTTGTTTTGCAATGGCCGTTGCTGGTTTCTTCTTCAGTTCTTCTTCCTTTTTATTTTTTTAAATAATATAAAACTTGTAGACGTCACTCTTTTGGAATCTTTGTCCTTTGATTTGATTGAATAACTATATAACTAAAAAATTAAAAAATCCATGAGAATTGGTGATCAGATTCTCTGTTCTTATCCTCCTCCCCTTCCTCCTCAAAAATTAAAAAATCCATGAGAATTTCTTAATTTTAATATTGTCAATTTCTCGGATCAAACAGAATCCTCCTTGATTCCCTCATCAATTTACAATAAAAAATTTATTTTTTTATTATTCTACATGGGTAGATAATATTAATATATAAAATTTTGTTTATATATGATTCACAATATAAGAAAAAAAAACTTAAACAATGTCATTATGTCAATAATGTAACTATTAAATTTATTAACCAATTAATATTCATAAGGGTAATGACTAGGAATCTATTAATAAAACAGTATGATGCAAATGGATTGAAAAATTAATCATTAATTAGTTTATTTATCTCACATTTATAACATTTAAATAAGAGTAAGCGACTTTTTGCCATCCAAGGTTTGCCTTAATGACACTTTCCCACCCAAAGATTATATTCCGTTAATACCTAAAATACACTTCACTATCTCAGCCAGTGTTCAACGAGTTACTAGGAGCCAAGATAAGAGAGATTTTGTAGAGTGGAGGATGGTGGATCGAATGGTGGTGACCAATTGAAAATTCACCGTCAGAATCAGTCGAAAATCAGCTAAGAATTGGAAACCATAGCTTTGCAGTGGTCGACAATCAGTGAGAAATTAGGTATCAAAGTGAGAGGGGTTTTGTAGAAAGGGGATCGGAGGTTCAAATGGTGATGACAGAGAAAATTTTCGCTGCCATAATCGGCTTTAGGTAATAACAGAATATTAACTTTAGGCAGAAAAGTGATATTTTGAAACTTTTTTTTTGTGAAAATGTCATTAAGGCAAGCCTTTTGTGGGAAAAAATCGTTTACTCTTTAAATAATTAGTTAAAATTAATGGTTAAATACATTTACAAAATGCAAATAGGCAACTACGATATTATCATTTTAAATTCATTGCAAATAAATAGAAAAATATTATCATACTAATTACAATAATTGGACCAAATGTTTAAGGTTTTCTTCTTAATGTCAACAAAATCTGAGAATATTTTATTCAAACAGTCATCGATGAGCTTATTAAATCCTTTTTTTCTTTTGATTTTTTATGGCATTTTTTTCTATGATCAAATATATTAAACATGTTTTAAGTTCCTTTAATTATCAGTGTTAAAACCTGACTTTGTGTATATAGCCTTTTGAATTTATAGAAAACGTGGTTTGCTATATATTTATCACGTTTTTATTATTCACATGTAATACAAAATGTTGATTAAAGACTATTTATATTTTCACAAAAAAGATAGGACTAATAATTGAGAAAATCCCAATCTTTAATGAATTAAGTTTATTATATTTTATGTATGCACAGCTAATAAAATTTTATTATAGATACATATATTTTGAAAATTAAATTAATCATGGTAGTTGTTAAAATTAATTTTAAAAAAAATGTTCTAAAAGTCAAGGAAAAGTTTAACCAATCTTTCCTTAAGTTAATTAAAAAAAAATTTAGAATTAAATATATTCTAAGAGTACATGTATTAATAACAAAGAAATCTATTTATAAGCATTTTGTTCACACAATATTTTTCTTTTTCTCTAGTAACCCATGTAACATGTTATGCTCATTTCTACATCTAAGACAGAAAATTACATAAAAGCATATTGAATTTCACTCATTTAATTATTATAATCCAGTTAATTAACATGTGTAAATTAAGTTGAAGAAACTATTTTATTTTAAGCTGATATGCTGGTTTTTCTAAAACTTTATATGAAGAACCATAGTTTCGGAAATGCTCTTATTTGCAATGCTGATATGCTGGTTCAAAACTGAAACCTCCGGGGAATCCACGAATCTACAATATTTAGAAACCGAGAGATAATAACCTCATAAATCACAGGTCTAATCATTCGACTAATCTTTGGTCAATTAATAAACTCTTTTAATAAATAATAATGACTCTACATCATGGTAAAAGACACGAACTAAATAAAATCATTTTGAAGAAAATGAAAGTATTTAATTTAAATTTTTTTGGTTGCAACGATGCCTCGGTTACATAAAGGATCCAATACTCAAGTGTATCGTACCAAGCCAGACATCAAAAACAAAAAAACAAAAAACAAAAAAAAAAAAAGTTCCAAAATTTGGAGAATCTCTCTGCCAAAATTAGAAAACTCAGCAGCCAGCTGCAGCAAAAACTAAAGCTATCAGCAACAGTTTATGCCCATATCCGAAAACTGACTTGACAACCCTGACGATCCACCTCTGAAATCTCTTCTCTTTTTGCTTATAACTCCATGTGAACCACCTCTTGTTTCCTGTAATTTTTCTCTGCTAATAAAACCAATGGAATTTTTCGCCATTTGGTGATGAGTGCTTCTTGCAGAAGAAAGCCATTTTGAGTGCATGTAACTTCTGGTCCTCCATGGAGGAATGTGGAGGCCTCTCTCTTTGAGTGATTGCTTTGCAGCTGAGCAAAGGAGAGAGATTATCTTGTTGAGCTTCTCTTCATTTCCAACAAAAATGGATGGGATTTTTTCTGTGAGTTCTTTGTAGGTTTGTGTTGGCCTCGCTAGCTCAAATTGTGACTTGAAATCTGTGTCCACTATTAGCCTGTTGTTTGTGTTTGTGTTTTTTTTGTTTTCTGGCAACATGATTTCTATGTATTCATAGTCACCTATCATCATAAAACTAAGATAAATTAGAAAAGAAAAAAGAAAAAAAAAAAAAGGTGAAATTAAATGGATGGAAAATAGTTAATTAATTACCAGCAGGGAAGCCTAAGGAAGTGACACAAGAAGTTTGACAAAGAGAAGCATTAAAGCCATCCATTTTGAGCTTCAAAACTAACCATTTCTTCATCAAATTACCAGAAGATTTCTCTGTATGCTTCAACACACACTCCAACACTTCACTTTCAGATTCTGTCACACTCGTCAAGATCTCCTAAAAACAGGAGGAATAAAAAAATATATTATAAAAACCATCAAAAAATAAATAAATAAATAAAAAAACCTTTTGAAGCCATGGAAGAGAAGTCAATTACCTGTAGAGCTAAGGAGGTGGAAATATTTATGTTTGAAGAAGAGGAAGCAAGAGGTGAAGAAGAGGAAGAAGAAGATGGTGATTCTGATGATTCCATGAAGTCATGAACCATTTGAAAAAGCTTCTCTTCTTCTGATTCAAAGCTGCTCATCTCTTTCTCTGAGAAATTGTGTTGGATTGTTGAAGGAAATAAAGGGTTTTATAAATTGAATGAGTTGTTGGTTTCTGAATCTCTCTTTATATGTGCAATTATGCAGAGAGTTGTGTAAAGGCGGTGGAATTATAGCTTTATTGTGATGAGAGATGAGGTCATTTCAAGTAATCTAGCACACTGAAATCTTCACAATGGTAATATACATATAAATGAAAATTTCCATATAAATCTTTTAACTGTTTTTGATAAATACTAAAAAAATAAAATTTTGACTAATCAGAGTAAACTATATATTGTCATCGTACGAGAAGCAAATTAAATATAAATTATAAAATACTTTTTGGAATATGCTTATCTTTTACTTGATTGAGAAAGCATGTGAAAATGATAGAGGGAGAATATTGAGCTATTTCCAGAAGCTACTTCAAAAAGATTCAGGTTTCAATGAATTGGTTGCAACACTATAGCTAGATGCATTATACAAGCTTCCACTCTCTGTGATGGAGACGCAAATTAAAACCACTCATAATCAATTAAGGGAAATAAAAAAAGCAAAAGAAAACCATCCCGATTTGATGGTAAAAGAGTAAAAAAAATATTTAAATTTATATGGCCTCTCGAGTTTGAGTCTCTACAGTCCCTAATAGAGGTGATTACTAAAACTCTTATTGAATCGATAGTTTCAAAATCTTAAAAAATTAGTTAAAATGCGTACAAATTATCTTAGACACCCTAGATCATAAAAAAAAAATGAAAGAAATTAGTTTGTCAAATAAGAAGATTAGTTTAGAAAATTGAGAAATAAAGAGGAAATTACTAAAATTTTACTAGAAATAAGAGGGACGACTGGTTATTGACTTATTGGTTACAAGTTTAACATTTTCTTTTTCATATTTTTCACATTTTTCATATTTTATTATCTCGGTGATAATAAGATTTGATCTCAACATCTCTTGTACCGCGAGCCGACCATCTAATTGTATTCATTAGTTAATTTATATTTGTCTTTAATATGCTAACCAATAATATTATGAAAAACACTTTGCTTACTCACGACTTGTACTAACCCCCTTACTACCTTTATTAAAATTTTACATGGTACCCGTACTATGCGTATAGTACCAGTACTATGCGTTATATTTATAAAGAATAGTAAGATGGTTAGTAAGATGGTGAGTAAGTATAGTATGGTTGTAATATTATTAGATTAATATTAAGAGTAAACAACATTTTCCCACCCAAGGTTTGCCTTAATGACACTTTCCCACTAAAAAAATTTCAAAATACCACTTTTTCACTCAAAGTTTATATTCCGTTTAATATTCAAAATACACTTCACTTTTTTAATTGGCGTTCGGCGAGTTACTAGGAGCTAGGGTAAGAGGAGTTTGTAGAGTGGAGGCCGGTGAATCGAATAGTGGTACTGATTGAATATTCACCATTGGAATCAACTGGAAATCAGCTAAGAACAAGAAACTCTAGTTTTACGGTGGTCGGCAATCGACGAGAAATCAAATGTCGAAGTGAGAGAGTTTTTGTAGAGAGGAGACTGGAGGTTCAAATGGTAGTGACAGAGAAAATTTTTGCCGTCGAAATCGACTTTGGGTAGTAACAGAGTATTAACGTTGGGTGGAAAAGTGGTATTCTGAAACGTTTTTTGTGGAAAAGTGTCATTAAGGCAAACCTTGGGTGGGAAAAAGTTGTTTACTCTTAATATTAATTAATCAGACTTTCGTATATATTTTTTTATTCAAATCTAGACTCTTATTATTGCTAGTTAATATTAAAAGACAAAATTTTGAAATAGATGATGTAAGAAAGTTTCCTGTGTTTACTTACAATAATAAATAATAGTTCATTTAAAAAAAAAAATGCATATATTTGTATCATAAATTTTCATAATTTTATTAAATTCAATGATTGATATTAGCATACATAAATTTTTTTTCTTAAATTCGGATCATCTTTTACTACATAATTAATGTTTTAAAAAAAAAAAGAAAAAAAAAAAAGAAAGATTAACAATCTATGATGCAAAAAAATTTGATTAAAATTTCGTCTTGCCAATTTTTTTAATCTGGATCACCTTTTAATACATAATTAATGTTAAAAGACAAAATTTAGTATATACAAGACAAGAAAATATCTTGCCCAAAAGTTTGTGTCCTAATTTTTCCTAACGCGATCCCTCATAGATTGTCTTCTAATATTACATATATAATATATCTATACTAGAATTTTCATTAATTTTAATAAATTTGGCAATTAGATAAGAATCTTTACATATTATCATGGTAGGGGCTAAAACTAGATCAATTTTTTTGTNTATGAAGTTAGATTAATTGTTGATCTGCATTCTAGGTTTACTTATCATAACATGGAGCATTTTATCGAACCTTAATATCTTTGAACCCAGCATCGACCAAAGCCTGGTTAAGAGTTTTCATGGCTGGAACAAGATTATAAATCCAATCCTTAACGGCACTTTGCAGGATTTCATTGCCAACAACAACACGAATAATCTTTGTTTGTGGATAATAGGGAGCTATGTTTGCAACAACCCACTGGCGAGCAGCATAGAGCTTAGTAAGAGCAGGAATATCACCGTTGCCCGCCGTCACAGTCACAGAAATGTTAGTGTTGGCAAAGGCACGAAGAATTTCAGGGTTTGTATCAAAGATTTTAATGCGATCAATATGTGTTTTTGTTGCTAGAAAGTCAGCCACTTGAGCTGGTGGCGGAAGGTTGTTTCCCAACGTACCATAGTTCACACCGATGGCGGTGGTGGTGGCCGAAATCTGGAGGATGAAGCTTATGAAGATTAGGAGAGCCGTGGAAGAACTCGAAGACATTTTTATTAGATGATGGGAAACTTCTGAAGTGACCCTGTAACTGTAGTCTGTAAGGGAGAACACTATTTATAAAACAAATCAATCTCGTAAAACAGAGAAAATAAAAAATTACTAGCTGGCTTATTAGATGATACTGTTATTGCAAGCCAAACTTAATACAGTTTAATAAAAATAAAAGTAAACTTATCCCTAACTTTGTTTGTGTTCTCATTTATTTATCAGTAATAGATCAAAGGAATTAAGAGAGTTATACTTAACCACTATAAATCAGCTATGCCAATCAAGAGACATTAGAATTAGGCATTTTCTGTTTAATATTTAACATCACAACTTTTTGTGTATAAAATTTTAAATCGAATTGTATGATAATCTTATAAACATTTCCTTTTAATTATTTTAACTAAAATATCAAAGTGATTAAACTTAAAAAAAAAAAATCGAATATTAATGTTTAATTTTAACGAACCCTCTCATATATTATATAAAATCCAATTTTAATGTGGAATGAATTAATCCCATAAATCCAATCAAGAGAGTCAAGATTGAAGTTATATATGTTATTTAGTGATTTAATTAGTTATTATCTTAGCTGGTGCCGGGTGGTGTGTCTACTTGTTGGATCATGAGGGAGCAAAAATGTACAAAGGAATGGAATAAAATTACATTTAAGGGTGTGTTTGGTTGGGGGTAATCCTTAATTGCTGAGATAATCTTATCTTATATTACTTAATTACCATGTTTGGTTGACAAATAATATAAGATTATAGTAATCTTCTAAAATTAATAGTAATTACTGTTGGTTGTATAGGAGATAATCTGATTACTTCTATTTTCTTAAGATTATTTGGTAATCTTATTTTTGTTACATATTTATTCCTAACTATTAAAATTTTTGGATAATAATGCTCTTGTTTTAAAAACAATTTACAAAAATACTAATAGACTATTTTATCTTTATATACAAAATTTTTACCCATGGGCTTTAAAAAAATTACCTCACCAACGGTCGACAATTAGCCACCACCGTTAGCCGTCGGACACCAACGTCAAAACAGCGCACGACCGGCCAGATCTGGCCAGCCTCGCACCGATCTGGTTGTTTCCATAACTATTATGGTTGTTTTTTATACCAAAACTATGGTCAAATTCTCTGGCAGTCAACGGCCAAAACTCTAGTCGTTAATGATGGCCACTTTTGGCCAGAGTGGTGCATGGCCGGTCAGTTCTAGCCAGTCATGTACCATTCTGACCACTATCGCCGCCATCGACGGTGGTGGCAAGCGACCGACAGTGGCTTGAGGTGGGTGGGGGTGATTTGGTTAGAAATTAAACTTTTATGTGGTTGGGGTGTTTTAGCAATATCTCAAATGTAGCATGTTAAAACAATTATTCAAAAAATAATATTATATTAATATTTAAAAATAAGGGCAATTTAGTAAATTATATAACATACCGACCAATTTATTCCTCCTAACCAAACATATTAATATAATATACCCACCAATTTATTCCAACCAACCAAACGCATTTCTTAAACATTTTCAGTAATCTATCTTTCCACTGATATATCATTCCCACTAATATTACAACATTCCATGAACCAAACACACCCTAAATACATATAGCAAGGAACATTGATTGATTGGAATGAATTTTTTTCTTTTACAAAAATATGGTTAAGTTTAAATGAATTTATTTGTATGTTTTATCAAACAATGGAATCCATAAAAAATTAATTACACAAAAATTACGAGAAAATTTAGCTGCGCAACCATCCCAAGTTTCCATTTAACAAAATGGCCTTGAAAATGTTTTTCATTTTTTTTTTTTTTAATTTAGAGAAGCTGACGTGGCATAGTTAGGATTCATTAAACACGTGAAATGGGTTAAAATGAAAAGATTAAAACATATGTGGGCCGAATCATAAATAATGAAAGTTTTTAAAATTTGAAATTTACAAAACAAGCCCTATCTATTCACCTCGCTTAATCGAAATTCATTAGGGCAAAAAGTGATTTCTTGAACCAAAGGAAGACATTGCGATTTCCGATCAAACCTGTAAATTTCCACACCATATTCAATCCTAAAATCAATTTCTTGAACCCTAAACGGAATACAGTCGCGATTTTTGGCAATACACTCGCGATTTTGGATCGATTTCTTGAACCCTAAAATCAATTTTTTGAACCCTAAAAGGAATCTGTGTGATTTCTAGCGATACAGTCCACATTTCCGATCGAAACTGCAAATTTTGACACCAAATTTAATCCAAAACCATGGCTGACACTTACAATGAGGAGGAAAACCCAACGCCACTTCAAATCCTAGATTTCGGTGGCGCAAGCAGTTCAATGGTTGTTCTGGTGGATCATCCGATCAGTGAAGGTGGTCCACAGGTAGAAGAGACGACGGCAGCACAACAACAGAGTTCAGAATCGCAAAACGGTTCTGAAAAGGAGGAGTCTGGCAAGAAGGAGGAGTCCAACGAAAATTCAGGCTAGGAGGAGTCTTCCAAGGATTCAGGCGACGAGGAAGAGGCCGGCGAAGAAAGGGTACGTATTTGTTTAAGGTTTAGGGCTCTGTACTGTCGCTTAAGCGATCATTTGTATCGCTTAAGCGATCATTTGTATCGCTTAAGCGATTAATCATCTGCCCAGATCTAAGATCGCTTAAGCGATTCTTTGTATCGCTTAATCGATTGATTCAGTTTACTCTTGGTTGCTTAAGCGATCTTGTCCGAGGCAGAATCATCTTAGATATAAGATTGCTTAAGCGATCTTTTGTATCGCTTAAGAGATTCTTTCAGTTTACTCTTGGTCGCCTAAGCGATTTCAGATCGCTTAAGAGATCTTGCACGAGGCAGAATCAAGATCTCTTAAGCGATCCGAAATCGCTTAAGCAACCATAGAGGTAATTTTTTGTTGCTGATATTTTGTTTATTAGTTGTTTTGGTTTATTTTTGTTGTTGACATTTTGTTTATATCGATTGTGCAGATTGTGCAGACCGTAAACTATAGAGACTACAAGTTGGAGCTTGTAAGCAATAAAGTACCCTACTTCCCTGTAAGGGTGACTGTCAGGTCGAGTTGGGAAGTTTTTGACAGAATGAAGGAGATTTTAGCTAGAATGAGGCATGGTGAAAGAGATTTCGAAGACACTTGTTTCGGTCAGTTTTTAAGAATCGGAACAAATTGGAAAAAGGCCTTGGGGGCAGGGAGTGCATTACATATTGCTGCACTCAGTAAAATGCAAAAAAAAAAAATAAAGAAATATGGTTCGTGGTGGACGGAAAGCCACTACATTTTGGCATGATGGAATATGCCTTGGTGACGGGCTTAGGATGCGGGAAATTGCCATATAAGCTTGAGGCAGAAGCAATAAGGAAGAGTTTGGGAGCTATAACATTTCTTACGAAGGTTTTGCAGAGCGCAAAGTCTATTACAAGACATGTTTTAGAGGAGAGGCTAGAAACAGTTCGGTTTAATGATGGAGAGAAGATAAAAGTGTGTTTGATATTGTTTTTACATTCGATCTTATTGGCTGGTGACTCAACAAAAGCTGTTGAGAATGATTGGTTATTGTTTGCAAGCGACTTGGAGTTCTTTAATTCTTATCCGTGGGGACGGATATCATTTGAGCGAACTATCAAGAGCATGAAAAAACCAGACATAGCGTTAAAGCAGTCCCAATGGGTAGGGAAGGATAACCCTAAACCAAGCACGTACAATTTGTTTGGCTTCCCATGGGCAATGTAGGTAAATATTAATAGCTTTTTGTTATATTTTTTGTAATATATGTGTTTGAATTATGATATGGACTGTTTTTTTACAATATAGGCTTGGATGTATGAGGCCATCCCTATCTTCGCTAAGGCGGGGGGGAGGAGCAACAATGTGAATGTGCAACAGCAATTCCCTAGGATGTTGCGGTGGCATGTCGAGAGCTGTAACCATTGGGATTATGGCCAATTAGAGATTGAGATTCAAGCAGCTGGGGTAAGATTGAAGCGGCTAGGGTAAGATTAAAGGATTAAGCTTTTGAATATGCAGTTGCTTTAAAATGTCGCTTCAATCTGATTGATTTTGTTTCTTATTGCAGGGAGTCGTCCATCCCTTTCTCACCGCTACTGGGGATGAAGCGGAAGAAGACTATGTCACGTCTTTCAAAGCACTAAAGGATGAAAGGGATGAACGGATAGACCGCCTGATGCGGGACCTAAAAGGGTCACACATGTGATGGCAGTTGCAGGGCCATTGCTTGACAACATGGTTGATGCTGAGGATGATGAAGCTCCAATCGGCGGGAAGCCTGAGGATGAGGAGGAGAAGAGGGAGGAAGAGGTTCGTATGCCTTAGCAAACCAGTACAACAAGTACCGCTTTGCCGAGACATCGGTGTCGGGAGAATGAGGTGGTTGATCTCATAAACGGCATGTTTGAGAGTCTTACAATAGCCGTTTATGACAGGTTTGACAAGATGGAAGAGCGCATGAAAAGGGTGGAGGAGAAAGTGGATAAGTTGGCAGAGAAAGTTGGTAGAGTGGAGGAGGAAGTTGGTGGAGAATTAAAGGCGGTTGAAGTGTAAACTGGGCTAAAAAGAGAGAGCCGAAAGAGCAAGTTTGTCAAATCGCTTTACATGGTAGTGACATAGATAAAGAAAAGGAAAATTAAGAAACAAATGGAGGAAGAACCAGAAATGGAGAAGGTTAAGGAGGTTGGTGGAGGAAGTGGGGCGGTGATAATAGAGGAGGGCGAGGTGGGAGGCGAAGGAAGCGGGAATGTAAAAATGGAGGAAGGAGGAGGAAGTGGGCAAGCGAAAATGGACTCAAATGTCGATTTGTATAGACCAATAGAGGAAAAGAAAAAACTCTTCTATGCCTATTACAATGAATCAGGAAGTAATGCCCATATAAAGTGTAAGACAGGGGATTATCCCCGGGAATGGCTTGAAAAGTTGTTGACGATGGGCACGTGGCTTGAGGACTCGGTGAGTTAATTTTGC